GATTAAGCGACATTGTGGCTTCTGGCGGTTAACTTTAGAGCAATCAATACGGGGTGATCGCTTGGACAATATACTCGTATAAGCAAAGCTTTAACGTCGTCGTCCTTTGTACTAGACGAATTGAATATCTTAAAATAACCGAATATATGAATAGATTTGCAATGTACAAAATCTCAACTTTCTCTACTTTCAAGTTAAAGTTAGTATTTTTAAGTTTATTGAAGTGATTTTTGAAATAGATTTATATGGTAGTATCCATTTTTGTTTTCTCTTTGCATGAATACCAATTGGAAACTGATAGATTTTGATAGGATTTTTGTCTACGTATAGGCTATTTAAAAGACGATTCAGAACAGCTATATATGACGTATAATGTACATCTATCTATAATGACTACAGGCGTCAACATTAAAATCAAAATATATAACACTAGCACTGCCCGCAGCTCCGCCCGGGTTCAGATGACCAAAAACCAAATTCTTTTACATAGGTATTAGTATACTCTTTCTTACAATGCAGTTTTTGTATTTTTTCTCAGAAATGAGATATTTTCCCGCAGTAAAAAGTACCCTATATGTTGACCCGGATAATCAGTTATCATCATACCAAATTTCATCAAAATCCCTCCAATGGTTTTTCCGTGATGCGGTAACAGACAGACAGACAAAAATTCTAAAAACTATAGATTCGGCCTCTGTATCGATAATAATGTCTATTTCAATAAGATTTTCCAAAAAATATTTAATGTACAGATTCAGCTTAGTTAGAATTTTATTATATGTATAGATGAGCAGTGAGCTCTCCATTATTATTATATGGGTGTCATATGAAGCGAATGTCATGTTGCTTAGTGAATGGATACCTATGTATGTACATATACCTATATAAATAGGCAAAGAAAAAACATCTCTCAGACATGCAGGTTATCTCACAGGTTTTACTTCACCGTAAGACGAGTGGTAATCATGTTGAAAATAATTCACTTATGAAAATATCAGAGCTGCGAGACCCGGGATTTGATCGCGCTTCCCTTGGTTTTCAAAGCAAGTGTTTTACCATTGGACTATTACTGTCTTCATATATTATTTAGCCTCAAAAAATAATATCATGGAAAAATAATTACAAAAATGTTTATTTACTCTCAGTTACTACTAACTTTATTAATTAGCTTTGGTTTGAAAACTAACGAGTTAAAATAACTTGCAGGTATGTTACATGTAACTAGGTATGTTAAAATAACAGTAACTTTGATGTTAGACTAAATTAATTATTCCCGGAAAAGTTTATTTTCATACTAGTATTCATTCATGACTTCCAACATATGGTTGTTATCTATCTATACATATAATAAAATTGTAACTAAGCTGAATCAGTACATTAAATATTTTTTGGAATATCTTATTGTAATTGACTCTATTATCGATAAAGAAGCCGAATCTATAAGTTTTTTGAATTTTTGTCTGTCTGTCTGTCTGTTACCGCATTACGGGAAAACCACCGGATAGATTTTAATAAAATTTGGTATGATGATAGCTGGTTCTCCGGATCAACATATAAGATACTTTTTAATACGGGAAAATATCTCATTTCTGAGAAAAAATACAATAACTGCATTGTAAGAGTATACTAATATGTAAAACCTAAGAATTTGCTTTTTGGTCATCTGAACGCGGGCGGAGCCGCGAGGAAAGCTAGTCTATATATAAAAATCATCGCTAAAACTTAAAACGGCTGGATCGATGTGAATATATATTTTTTTGTTTTGTTAAGTTAGCCAAATAAAGATATAATGGTTGCCATACGTTCACAGGAAGTAAAAGTAAAGCCTTTAAAACCTGAATAAACTTACGTGAGTTTCCCCGTGAAAGACTAGCTTTCGTTTTTTTTTAAATACTCCATTATTCTAAAAACTAGTAGTTATTTTCAACCGACTTCAAAAAGGAGGAGGTTCTCAATTCGACTGTATGTTTTTTTTTATGTTTGTTACCTCAGAACTCCGTCATTTATTAACCGATCTGAACAATTTTTGTGTTGTTTGAAAGTATATACTTCCAGATTGGTCCCATTTAAATTTCGAAAATAAAATACCACCCCTAAGGGTGGAAAAATGGCTAATGATTAATTTAACCTACTTCTAATTGTCGTATTGACTTGAAATTTTGTAAGTATTTCTATTTCCGTTGATAGTACAGTGGTTCGGTGTTGTTGACCTGATCTGATGGCAAGGCCAGAAGGTGGATAGGTGGAACTCTTCAACGGCTAATAGTAGATACTTTGAGTTTGGGCTTATTTTGTTTGATTTGACAAGCCTAACACGTTAGAATTCTTACTTTGCTACTACTGTTTACACTAAAAAGGGAAAAATAAAAACATTTTAACAAAAAAATAAAAACCGACTTCAAACAAAAGCACTAAAAAGTAAAAAATAACTGATTGGTAGTTTTCATTTACTATACATACCTATTCAAATATTTTCGAAGTCGGTGTGCTTTGGCTAAGTAATTAAAGCCTACCTATTAAATAATTACCTAATCAAATATTTTCGAAATCGGTGCCAGCCCATACAAAGCAAAGCACAACGACTTCGAATATATTTGATTAGGTATGTATAGTAAATGAAAACTACCAATCAGTTATTTTTTACTTTTTAGTGCTTTTGTTTGAAGTCGGTTTTTATTGTTTTATTATATATCGAATCGAGTATTGTTGTAACGAAGTCTAATAAGGTGAAATAATGAAACGCAGTATATCTGTAACGTAATGTCACTGTATGTAACTGTATGTAAGAAGTATCTGTGGTAAATTAGAGATTTATGCTAATGGTACATTCATGTCAGTGCTCGCTGGTAGCGAGAGAGATTTGTTGAGGATGTTTACTGTAAAAACAGTAGGTTGATACTAAATTGTATCTTTATCCTTAGTATGATTAAGAAAATGTGTATTTATATCTGTTTGTTACACTTTAGCCTTTAAACCGCTTAGTTGCTATAGCATAAAGAACTTATATTGTAAATGATGTTTTTTGTTTTACACTTTGAATTTTTAAAATCAAATATTTTCTATAGCTAACAAACTAAAAAAATCTGTTATATATATAGATAAATAAAATTGAAGTGTCTATTTGTAATGTCAAAATAACAGCTTTTTAGTAAATGCATATGAAATTATATATGGTACCAAGGAGAAAAATACAAGTCTATCTGTCTGTTTGTTCAGGCTGATCTCCGAAACGGCTTGACTCATTTTGAGGGGATTTTCACTGGCAGATAGCTGATGTTATACGGAGTAACTTAGGCTACTTTTATTTTAGAAAAAGAATTAGGTTTCCGCTCAAAAAAAATGAATAGTACGAGCGAAACGAGGGTTAAGTCGCTACTGTATTATAAGAGTATACAAAAAATTCAATTTTCATTTAAATCGTTTTCAGAAGAGACAATATAACTAATATTAGTATCATAGTGAAGAGGAAACTTAGTAGGTATCTATTGTAGTTTAAACTTCATACATATTCATGGTATTCAGAGAATCGTAAACCACAATTTGTTGTGTATCCCTTTACAACCGGCGAACTTATTTTTTATTTTTTTGTGTATGATTTATGTATTCTAGTTATTTAGGCTTCAAACAACCTAAAAAAAATATTTAAAAAAATTAGTTACCCCCCCTTTTTTTTTAAAAGTACCCTCACGATCGTGACGATCAGGATTAAATTGACTTACGTACGATGGTGATTTTTTAGGAAGCAGTTGGGTTAATGAAATAAAAATCTAGTATAATCAATTTCATTTATATCTGTGATTAAATAATTTGGTAATCTATACATAAGTCTTTATAATTGAGCACATATTTTTGGTTTAATTATACTTGTATGTATAAAACTTATCTATATTTGTATTTATTATATAATCTGAGCAACTTCAGCATATAAATTAGATTAAACCTTTGAAAACATAAAAATAACTAACATACTAGGAACCATTTTGAGATCAATTGCAATATCTAATAATTTTATTTGTAACATACAAATAAAATTATTAGATATTGCAGTTCGCATGGTATAATCGGAAATAATCTTTTCCCCGCGACATGCACAAGTAAACATCGTATTTACACAGCGAATTTTGCTCCTATTTGTACATGTCTCCAATCTGCAGGAACGTTGAGCCGATAACGGTGCCAAGGTTGGCAGATGATCATATCCATCATATCTCTTTGCTTGCTTACTCTCCAATGTCTTGCTGGCATATACTTGAAAGGCGGTGCCTCATCTCCAGTATCTGTGTCTTGACTTAATCGGCGTTTGCGGTCTGGAGTACTCAACCAAGCATCTGCTACTTCCATTTTAAAGTTCAGAAGATCTATTTTTTTTTCGGAAGTTTATTAGATTCACAATCTATTTTATACTTCCGCCATGCATTAACTACAAGCTAAATCCAAAAAATGAATGATTACCTTCAGAGTCCACTTCCTCGATTTTATGAAGACACGCTATTAATCCATTATTTGATCCAAAACATCCACTCCACCCATGTGACTAATATAATTGCTAACTACCCTGGGAATAAGATTATCCTTGTAATATTTTGTTTGTTTGTCCCATCGTTTAACGTAGTCTTGATGTTTAGCACCAGTACAATTGGACGCCATCAACATAGCTTTATTATCTTCCGTTTTTACTTAGGTAGTAATTATTGGAGCAAATGAAAAATAATGGATATTGGAGCATCCAGTCCGATGAATTCCTTATCAAAATAGTCATAAATATACTCACTAGGTGTCTTGACTGGTCCTGAGGGTGGACTTGGGTAATTATGATCTTTATCAGTAAATAATGATAGCCTCCACATACCAAATGACGAACAGACGTATTTTCAGTAATTACCTCATCAGAAGACAGTTCTCAATGTGCTGGAGGAACCTTCTGGATGATATTCATCACTAAATTTTTGAAAAAGGAAACGATCAAATCCTCACCTTCGTCGTGTAGCACCTCAATATTAAAGAGCATATCTATTTTGCAAGAGGTCCAAAACCTCTTCATCCCTCAAAACTGCGCCTAAAATTAATATAAAATTATAAAACTTTACATGTACTGTCAAAAAGGAGCTTTAGAAAAAATACATTTTTCGTAATTATAAATGAATTAAAACCCGGATTATCACGATCGTGATGATGTAAGTTTGAGAGATCACAAACAAAAGAACAACTATGCTATCAAAACACAAATTACGGCTTTGTGTTAAGTATTATCTACATTAAACTTTAATAACAAAAAAAGATGTCAAGCTATGAAAAATATAGTAAAAAAATGTACTTATGTGATCGAGACCCATGTCCAAAATGCGCTGCCATCTTTGTCGACGGTCCTTCGACCACTGGACACATTACAACGTGTCCTTTTATTTTTTGAATAAAGCGTATATATCAACATTATCATGTGAGGCCGATTGCGTTCACAAAAACAAATACATTTTGAATTAGATTTTTTTTACCAAATGTCACGCTCGTATTGAATCGGTCGTAAAGGGGTATTCAAACTTTTAATAATATACTATGTCAAAATCTATAGGTACATATAATAAGACTGTAGAGATCGAATGTCTGTACATAAAAAAAGCTAAAAACCGAGTCAAGGGGATGTAAGAAGAGAAATAGAACAAATCCAGATTTTTTTTTAATTTTTGTTTCTCTGTCTGTCTGTTTGTCTGTTCGAACGGGCTAATCTCCGAAACAGTTGGACCGATTTAAATGAAATTTTGCTTGGTGATACCTTATATCCCCGGCCAACATTTTAGATACTTTTCATTCCGGAAAATTAAAGATTTCCCGTGGGATAGTTAAAAAACTATAGTAACTTATACAGCTTAGCACACACAACTTATGCATTTAATTTAGTAAAATTTGGCATGCCGATACCTTATATTGCTGGTCAAACAACAGATTACGTTTATGTCGCAAAACTGAACGGTTCCCGTGGGATAGATCTGTTTGAGCGTTTCTAGAGGCGAACCCGAGCGAAGCGAGGGTGAGCTGCTAGTTATATATAAATTCTTTCAAAACAAGGAAGCTAATATTTAATTTTACGGTACTTAGATTGATGTAACTACAACTAATAAACAAATAAGCAAAACAAAAAATAATTTGTTACATTTTCTCAAAGTTTATTATTGCGCTATCTTAATCAAGTTACAAAACTTACATGTTTGAGATTATTTTTCTCTTAGGCGTTACATACAGCAAAAAATTAATTTTCGAAACTCCTTCATTGTACCAAAGCTTACATTCGATAAATAAAGACAACCCTAAAGTGAAATTCGAAATCTGAACCGCTATCAAGGGTGATTGAGCATCTTTGTTTAAAGGAAATATCTCGGGATCAAATCCTGGAGGGTCCGGGTAATACTTGATGCTCCCAATATGTTCTTTGTCATAAGAATGGAAACCATCACAATGTAACCAAAGTTTTTGTTTTTTTAATTTTAAATAATTTTGCACTTGTAATGGTAAATTCATATTTTCTGTCATATTCCGGTTTAAAGGCTTTGCAGACCAATTAAGCTGTTTATTTATTCTTATAATTACACAGGGATCACTTCCATACCCAAATGGAGATGAACTGCAAGGCCCAAGTTCAGTAAAATTGCTCACTTCTCTTTTTCTTCTTTTCGTAAGTAATGTTTCCAAAGCATTCACGTATTTCTGATAGTCTTTAGGATCATTTCTATACCAGATAATAGGTAGTTCATTTAAAGCAGTTGGTGTGGCCGACAGACCTACACCGTTGCTGGAATACGTTAAAAGTTCGATCTTTTCAATAGATTCGAAATCGTCCATATATTTTATCACTGCTAGTGAACCATAGAGAAATATTAACGTATATGTACTCAAGAACATCAAATACATAACTGAGTATATAATAATATAAAACCAACTTTTAAAAGTTCTGCCACAAAATATATTTTTTTCTCTATCGTAGATATAATTGCAACAACGTTTCCAAGAGCGTTTTGGTGGTTCCTTTGGATCATTTTCATTTGCACCTGTAAAACCAGGATCTTTTGATGATCCGGGTACAGGGAGAGAAGGATGCTTACCAGATATATTTTTACCCTTTTTATCTGATTTTTTAAACATTATTCTTATAAAATTGGCATTGAAATATAACTAAATACTAAAATGTCAATTTATGTACCTAATAATCTTAGTGGCTATGACAGGCTATTTGATGACACAAATCACTTAACTAAAGAGGTACATGAATAAAGCATATAATAATGAGGATTTATATTATCTTATCTTGGCTTCTTGGTCATTTATTTATAAATTTGTAAATTAATTTAATTAAATAAGAGATTTTTTCCAAAACTACTGATTTCAGAAATAAAAAAGGGAATTTATAAAGAAAATATCACATAAAATTTTTGTACTTAAAAATTTTTTATTAAGATTTTTTGAAGCTTTACTCCTTTTGGCACGTTTGGAAAAAAATATAAGAGTAAAATTTTTACGATGCGCGCGCACCGACAGCCAAAAACCGACATGATGAAGTTAGCTGTATTCCTTTCACAAAGAGAGAGCTGTGACATACGGGATGATATCTTTAGCTATTTTTGTTATTACGCCAAAGAAGAACTTCTAGCGCTGGATTTACGCTAGGGGCCCTCGGTGCTAGGGCCCAGGGCGGTAAGTTTTTAGAGGCGGCAAAATTCGGTGGGTGAGAAAAAAAGTCTCTTCGCGTTATCGAAAATGCTATTTTTATTTTTCCAAAAAATGAATGATAAAAAATAACTAGTACATAGAAAAAATTGAAATCATATATAAGTTATTTTTTTGCATTATTCAAAAAATATATTAAAAACAACTTTTACGAAACTTTACCCTGTTTATGCAAAATGTCGATAATTGGGCGGCATTTTTTACTATGCCCAGGGGCGGCGGTAAGGTTAAATCCGCCACAGATAACTTCTTACGTGCGTACATAAATACACGCGTTTTTTTGGAGTTTAACCGCTTTTGATAGAGAAATATTTCTCTTTGTATTTTCGCTAGTATCGCTTTACAGCAGTGGTCTTATAAATTTACCAATCTAAAACAAATATGTAGGTTATCAATATTTTAATTTGATTTTTTTAACACCTAAGGGCGTCATGTTGCTAACATTTTTATTTTCAGTATGAAACAAACTCCATTCCTTTTAACTATGTATATCCATTTATCTGAATTAGCAGAATTTCGCCTTTAAAAATAATAATCAATTTATTGTATCGTAACCATAGTATAAAGCCAATGTATGTTTTATTTTTAAATGAAGTAAAGGCAATTTAATTTTATTAACAAAGATAATATACATTTAAATCTCATAAATATAATAAATTAGATACTTATTTGTTAATTAAGAAATACATAAATAACTCTGTTTAGGCCTTTTAGATAAAGCATCTTACAAATTATCTCGGACAGCTGACTAAACATACCCTTTGAGAAATAATTAACTCCCTAAAATATTTACATGTTATTTTATTTCATTTTGATTGTCATAAAATGTAATATTTGTGTCTGGATCTCGTATCAATATAAAATATTAGGTAAAATATGCATATATCTATACATAAAATAAAATTGTAACCGCATTTGTTAAAAATTTGGTATACATTAAATATTTTTTGCAAAATCTTATTGAAATAGTCATTATTATCGATACAGAGGTTCATCTGTCTGTCTGTCTGGTAACGTATTACAAGAAAAACACTGGATATATTTTTATGAAATTTGGTATGATGATAGCTAGTTATACAGGTCAACATATAGGATACTTTTTACTGTGGTAAAATATCTCATCTATAATAAATCTATATTAACTGTAAGTACTAAGCTATATGATAGAGTCTGAACATACAATGGGTATTTTGATGGATCGAAAGAAAAATAAACGAAATAAGTACCTAATTATAATGCGATAAACTAATAAAAAGCTAATAAAAATATAAGTTAATCTAATAAAGTAATAAGCCAATAAAAACAGTATCATAATATAGACGTGGACACTTTTTTGTCGTCACTGTATTATTTTCGTACAATATGTATGTGGATTTCCATCTCTAGCTCTAGGCTACCTTGTCAGACCTTAGAATTCACAAGTATGTAGCATTCCCAAGTATTTACCACTGTTTATAAATGTGTAAAAAAATGTTTGTTCGTGGAAAGTCCCATGTCTCAGAAAGTCCTTCTCTGATTTCTTTTAAGTTTTGACTCCCATATTTTTTTATATGGAAAAGCTTTATATGCTAAATATTGTTCAATAATTTTTAAGCATTAATTTTTCCCCCTTGAAATAGATTTTAGTTTATTAGATATTAGTTTAATTCAAACTAAAAAAAAATCCGTTAGCTATTTACTTTTATTAACTTATCACGTAATGAATATTCTATTCATATTGGTATTCATTATGTTTTAAAACATCACTAAAATTTAAAACATTACTGTTTGGCTTCATGATTAGTTCTATGACACTCTGTCTATATTTTTACTTAGTCTGAGGTTAAGAAGTATTTATTTTAATAACTGCCTCGGTGGCGTAGTGGCTAGCATGTACGGCTGCACACTCGAAGGTTCTGGGTTCGAGTCTCGGGTCGGGCCAAGTTTAGTTATTGAGTATTTCTGTATAGTAAGCCCGGAGTTGGGAAGTTGGCGGTGTTTCACCCCCGTGCCTCGGAGAGCGCGTGAAGCCGTCGGTCCTGTGCCTTAACTCTCACTGGTCGTGTCTAAGTGGTCGTCCCACCAGAGTATGAAAGTGACAGGAATAGAGAGTGCACTTGTGTCTGTGCGTACACTTGTGCACTATAATATCTCCTGCGCAGTTGGCTAATGTCAATGAGATTGGCCGCCGTGGCCGGAATCGGTCAGGAGAACATCATCATCATTTTAATAAAAAAATTCGGATTTTTAAGGACTTTAAATACACAGCAGTTTTTAAATATATCCAAAATCTTTTATTTTACCTCCTGGCTTCTCTATGTAATTTTAAACTCTTGCTTACCTAAAGCGATGTATAATAGCGATATATGGACTCAATAGAATTTACATGGACGAAACCGCATACAATAAGTAGTTTTAACTATTTTACTTATCCACTGCGACAGAAAGACTTAAATTTAAATTTGCTATTAAGATAAGACAAAGAATACAATTTAAAATACAGTTCAAATATTGATAGCGCTGCGTAATTTATTTGAGACGTCTAACATTGGATCCTTTATTTTCTTTCAGACGACATTGAATTCGTATTTACTTATTTTAGTAGACTTAAATAAAATACTGAAATTTATTTCTTTTAATATATATGTTTATAGGATTTGTGGAACTTTCACAGTAAGATAAACAATGGAAAAGTAGAAGAAAAGTGAAAATGTAGAGATTAATCATTTTATTGTAAACTAGCGACTCACCCTCACTCCACTCGGGTTCGTCCCTATTTATGTTATAACGTTTAATATAGATTTCTCAAAGATGAGATATTTTCCCGCAGTAAACATAATATGAGACACATAAACCAAGAATAACCAGCTGTCATCATACCAAATCATCAAAAAGTTCCCAAACAGACAGACAGTCAAAAATCCTAAAAACTATAAATTCAGCCTCCTTATCGATAATAATGACTATTTCAATAAGGTTTTCCAAAAAATATTTAATGTATAGATTCAACTCAACATTTTATTATATGTACCTATTTATAGATACTCATTATCGATTATCTATTTACTCCATATCTTTATAAATAGAATTGTATATAGGGTATGAAGCTTTTAAGGTTTAGCTTACTTGTCATAAGTATTATTTTTTGCCAAATTTTGCACGATTGTTTTGTATAAATATGTATTTACTACTATGGTATAGTATATTCCTTTTAAGCTTTTATAGAGCATTATAAATTGAATTGAGGGTATTATATTTTTATTTGCTAATAAAAGTTTATTGTTTTGATGATTGTACCTTTTTTTAATGCAATATAGAGAGAGATACGAGAATGAGAGCGATAGAGACAGTGACATGTCACTGTAAAATTCATATATACGAGTATGTATTTTATTTCGTTACGTAATGGCTTTAATTTATTAGAAAAATCTACTTAGGAATATGGGTATTATAATAAAAACAAATATTAAACGTAAACTTAAAAATATATTTAATTTAATCAATCTTTAAAACCACATCAAAACAGTTCAAAAGAGCAAATGGCACAAATAACAAAAATAGCATCTTCGTTTTATAGTATATAATCCTTACCTTATCACGTGATACGAAAGCCAGACATGATCAACAAACGATCTACTGTGTACCTTACTCTATATAAATGTTTATGTAATGCCAATTAATGCCCGAGGTGGAGCTTATTTGGTAGGATACGTGATCTAAGTTACTATGTATAGTTTTGATGACACGTTTAGCTCAGTTTGTAGTGACCCTACTTGTTGTGCCAGCGGTCGCGGATTCGAGTCCCGCTGGGGACATTCATTTTTGTGAAGAGCAATAACGTTTATACTCCAGCCATGGGTGTTTATATTTATAATATGTATGTATTTAATGTTATATATGTGTAGTGTATCAACTATCTGGTTTCCATAACGCAAGCCTCGTAGCTTACCATGGAACTAGATGGTATTGTGTGTTAATATCCCAACAACAACATATAGTTAAGAACGAAAATGAAGATCTCTATAAGTATTATGTATCTAATTATAAGAATTAATCCAACTACTTTTATATAGATAAGAAATTTTGTATGTGTGTGTATGTTTGTTAGATTTTCACGCTAACAAGGCTGTACGGATTTGGATGTACAGAAAAAACCTTGACCTAAAGTATAAAAAAGACCTAAAAAGTATAGGTTACATTATATGTTAGGCACATAAGGACGCACCCGAAGGCGTAATTAAGGTAACTGAGAAAATGCTAGTAATTATAATAATTTAATTAAATATACGTAGAATTTTTATACAGCTTCGCTTACGAATACAAATTAAAAAAAATGTACTGAATGACAATTTCAGTCGTTATGTTGGAAAATGAAAATATGGCATTTCCATATATTTTTTTAGGTTTGTATTCATCAAAAATTTTAGAACGTCATGTTG